TCAAACGTCTAGGTTAGTTCCTTTGTGTTTCACTAAAATTTTCAAAATTATAGTGAATCTGGCCAAGAAAATCCAACTTAAAGTTTATTCAAATGAACAAAATTTTGTATCAGATTTACAACACTCTTCACGGTCGTGATTTCTGTTGTTTTCCTCATGCATTATTAATGAGTTTGACAACAATAGTTATCTTCAGTAATCTTGAATGCCATTTTTCTGCTCYCTATAGCAATCTTTATCTCGTTCTAATAACTTAGTAAGATTCCAGTGACAGTAGTCCTAAACGCTTCGTATTGCATTGCCCAATTACTGATGTGCGAAGATATAATTATATACGACAGTCAAAGAATCATTGTTGCAGTTAAAACAGCGTTTTAATCATCGATTGGGACTTAGAGTATCAGCCAAATCCCACTAAGTCATTGTAAAACTAAGTACTCTAAATGAAGACCCATAACTTGGGTTCTCCAGCTAGTGACAAAGAATATTTGTGTTTATTATGCATGATAAAAATCGAACTAAAATTATAGCACAATTTATTTTGAAATATAAATGGAAATAAAGGGAAATTAGAAATCTAAACTTGTTGGTTGTTTGGCTGGCAATAAAAGACCTAATGAAAAATGAACGTCAAAGAGATAGTTAACGTTAGGAAAGGGGAAAAGGATTTTTTTAGGGAATCGATGGAATAGCAGTCATAGAAGAGTCTTAGGTCCTCCTCGTCCCTACTCTCCCGTGCTCCCTCCCTCCTCCAACTCTTGTGCTAGATCCAATGAAATAGTCCTTCACAGTTCCTATCATTGCAAACTCACTGTTTGTCTCGCGTCGATGCAAAGGCACGGCTACCTTTCAAGATGGCGCAGGGAAATGTGACGTGTGATAATTGTACAAGGTGTTAAAAACAGGTCTCTATCATTGCAAGCTCACCGTTCGTCTCGCTTCGATGCACGGCTACCTTTCAAGATGGCGCAGGGAACTGTGAAGGGGACTATTGATGAAAAAATAAGAAAGGATGACGAATCACCTACCCACTGAGACAAACCTAAAGCAACTGCAAGATAAATATAAATAGTGAAAAGATAGAAAACGAGCGCGCGTGCTATGTTGTGTTATACAAGCACGCGGGAAATTGCGTGAGTCAGAGAGAAGTGTTAGGAGAAGCACGAGCCGTAGGCGAGTGTTTCTCTGCACTTTTCGAGGGCTCACGCAATTTCCCAAGTGTTTGTATAACTCAACTTAGCACAAGCAAGGGGAGTTTTCTATCTCTTTTATAAAATAACTAAGATATAATATAATATAACTAAAGATTAACTGAAAAGAAATAATATAAAAACATCGCTTGCGTTGCTGACCTCATTTCCTCACGATTTATGTTGAGCTATATAAAACGCTAATTGACCAATCAGAGCGCGCGTTATATCTTAGTTCTTTTATAAAATCTGATAATTGTCGATGATGTAACCATGCAGCCATGTCTTCCACGTGACACGTTCCCGCCTTTTATTTGTAAAAAGAGCCCACTTAATTCCTTGCATTACCATTCAACATTATAACAGTTGACGCGTTAAGCATATGAACTAGGCTCTTTGCTGATAGTTTTGAGGCTTTCGTGTTCCATATAGATTATACATGAGTTTTTTTCGATTTGAAGCACGATGTGTTGAAAAGAATTTTGACGTTTCGTCTACAAGCTCAGGGGAGTAACCAGGGATCTTGCAGGGGAGGTGCACAGGCAATGATTTGCAGAACCAAAAAAAAAAGGTAACCAAAATAGAAAAGGCAGAAGCCCATTCCTCCACTTCTCTTAA